ACTGTTTGGCCAAGTTGCAGGAAGAAAGTTATTTGTTTTTCTTTTTTGCCCTCTCCATCTCTACCTTCATCTTTCTGTCCTCCTATCTCGTCTCTCTGTGCCTGATTTGTGTCTTAGAAAAAGAGGTCATAGATTTACAGAGTGATGGAGCTGGAAAGGGAACTCCAGAGTTATCTCCCCCAACCTCTTGAATGAACAAACAGTTAAGGAGCCTGGAACCCAGAGAAGTAACGTAACTCACCCTGCTACAAAGCGGCAGAGGCTTATCTTGAAAGTAGCCCAACAGTCAAGGCGTTTTCACCAACACCGTGCTGCCTCTCTCTGGAAGAATTTTGAGGACAGTGAGAAAATAGTAACAAAATATTATACCCTGTCAGGAGTGACAAAAGGGAAGAAAATGAGCGGCTTATAGAAAAAAGAAGAGGGGGCCAGGTGTGGTGGCTCACGCCTGTAATCCCAGCACTTTGGGAGGTTGAGGCAGGTGGATCATGAGGTCAGAAGTTCAAGACCAGCCTGGCCAACATGGTGAAACCCCGTCTCTACTAAAAATACAAAAAAAAAATTAGCCGGGCATGGTGGCAGGAGCCTATAATCCCAGCTACTCGGGAGGCTGAAGCAGAGAATTGCTTGAACCCAGGAGGCGGAGGTTGCAGTGAGCTGAGATTGGGCCACTGCACTCCAGCCTGGGTGACAGGGTAAGACTCTGTCTTAAAAAAAAAAAAAAAAAAGGGTAATAGGAAGAAGAAAATAGAAAGGGAGAAAAACAAGATGGATGGAGAGGTAGAGGCGTGATGCCACCTTCTAATAAGCCTCTGCTAAACTATTTAAAACAATGCTATGCATTCTACTCCTTAGGTATTTACCCCAGAGAAATGAAAACCTCACACGAAAATATTTGTATAGCTACGTCCATAGGAACTTCATATATAATATTTAAAAACTGCAAACTGACCAAATGTCCATTAAAAGGAAAATGAACAAATTATGATACATCCATACCATGGAATGCTGGCCAGAAATACTACCGATATAACCATGAACATGAATGAATCTCACAGACATCATGCTGAGCAAAGAAAACAGACCCCAAAGAGTACATACTCTCTGGTTCTGATTATGCAAAGTTCTAGAACAGATGAAAGTAATTTGTAGTGGAAAACAATCAGAGAACAGTAATTGTCTGGAGTAGGTGGAGGATGGTGATCCCGATAGGGATTAACTGGGAAGAGGCATGAGGAGAACTTTCTGGTGTGATGATAGTGTCCTGTATCTTGATATGGGTTTGGGTTATACACATGAATACATTTGTCAAAACTCATGGGAAAATACACTTAAGATCTGTGTATTTCATTGTGTATAAATTTTATCTCAAGAGAAAAAAAAACCCACCAAAAAAACTAAACTCTAGTTAATGGTATGCGTGTCCAAGTGTTTAGAGCTGAAGCTACTTGCTTTGAAATGCATCCAAAAAATAAGATGGATTGATAGATGGAGAGATAGAAGATATGGGATAAATTAGGTACATATATTAAAATGTTAGTTTTATAGTCTAAGTGGTGGGTATATGGGCATTCATTATAAAATTCTGTCCACTTTTCTGTACGTTTGAAATATTTTATTTTAAAATGTTAAGAAAAAACTTAATAGGACATAGTACATGATATGGTTTGGATCTGGGTCCCCCCCCCAAATCTCATGTCGAATTGTAATCCCCAATGTTGAAGGTGCGGCCTGGTGGGAGGTGATTGAGTCATGGGGGCAGTTTCTCATGAATGGCTTAGCACCATTCCCCTAGTGCTGTTCTTGTGATAAAGTTCTCACGAGATCTGGTTGTTTAAAAGTATGTAGCACCTCCCCCTTTTCTCTCCCTTTTTTTTTTTTTTTTTTTTTTTCCGAGACAGAGTCTCACTCTGTTGCCCAGGCTGGAGTGCAGTGGCGCAATCTTGGCTCACTGCAGCCTGTGCCTCCTGGGTTCAAGCAATTCTTGTGCCTCAGCCTCCCAAGTAGCTGGGACTACAGGTATGCACTGCCACGCCTGGCTGATTAATTTTTGTATTTTTAGTAGAGATGAGGTTTCACCATGTTGGCCAGGCTGGTCTCGAACTCCTGACTTCAAGTAATCTGCCTGCTTCGGCCTCCCAAAGTGCTGGGATTACACGCATGAGCCACCATGCCTAGCCCCCCTTTTCTCTCTTGCTCCTGCATCTGCCATGTAAGATGTGCCTGCTTCCCCTTCACCCTCTGCCATGATTGTAAGTTTCTTGAGGCCTCCCCAGAAGCCACTATGCTTCCTGTACAGTCTGCAGAACCATGAGCCAATGAAACCTCTTTTTTTATAAATTACCCAGTCTCAGGTATTTCTTTACAGCAACTGACTAATACAGTACATAAGAAGGAAAAAAGGTTAAAATGTCATGCATGAGGATTTTTAACTGGAATCGTCCCTTACCATAGGTGTGGAGAGAGATAACGAGGATAAGGAAGGGTGGGATATCAGAATATCAGACACTTCCATCTCACCATTTTATTTCAGGCTGCTCTGTTTGTCTTTTTTTTTTTTTTTTTTTTTTTTTTTTTTTTTGAGACGGAGTCTCGCTCTGTTGCCCAGGCTGGAGTGCAGTGGTGTGATCTCAGCTCACTGCAAGCTCCGCCTCCCGGGTTTACGCCATTCTCCTGCCTCAGGCTCCCAAGTAGCTGGGACTATAGGCGCCCGCCACCGCGCCCGGCTAGTTTTTTGTATTTTTAAGTAGAGACGGGGTTTCACTGTGTTAGCCAGGATGGTCTCGATCTCCGGACCTCGTGATCCACCCGTCTCGGCCTCCCAAAGTGCTGGGATTACAGGCTTGAGCCACCGCGCCTGGCCTGTTTGTCTTTTACAAATACACAAACAGTTGGTATTTCCAGAGGAAGCTCTAGAACTATCACGTCAAGCCTCCTAAGCTCCTCCTCCAGTCTTTTTTGCATACCTTCCTATCTGCCTTTTCTGCCTTTCTCATATTCTCCGCTACTCACGGGCAAACTGATCGGTACAACCTCAACATTTTATCAATTGTCATGACTATGGATGATTCACTTTTCCAAGTGATCTGTTTGCTACATGAACTTCTGCTCCAGTCAGACACTGAGTTCTAACAGCTAGTGTAACAAACAGCTCAGCATGTGGATCTGAACCTGAGCTGCTCCTTGTTGAGTTCTGATGGGCAGAATTACCTTGTGGTTTGAGTTCTGGGACGTGGGACTTTCAGTGCGAAAACCAGAATGAGTTGGTCATCCTATCATTGGCAGCTGACAACTCACATTCATAACAGTTCGAGTCTATTTCTAAACTAAGATAGTGAATTAATTCGATGTATTTTACATTTTACTTAGTGTTGTATATAATTTTTTTAATGTGTAAATATCTGATAATGTTTAAATCAAATTCTGTAGATAAAATGCCCTGAAACACAAAGTGTCTTACCAAAAATTGGCTGAAAACCCACATGTATTTATGATATAGTTCATGAGAACTAACAAGTGTAAATAAAGCACAAGAGTGTGGTCTGGCCTCAGGCATGTGGTGTTCATTCGCAGGCGGCCCCAGGCCCCATGTGGGATGCCTCAGGCTATGAGCCCAGACTCTACGCTTGGGCTGTTACTATCCTGCACAGCTCTGCTAAAAAAGAAAATATACCTTTCCTTTGATTGATATTTTTCTTTTTCATTATAAATTAAGGCAGCAGTACTGATTTCTAGGAATCAAATGTTAAAAGCATTCTCTTCTCTTTAAAGTCAAACTCATATAGCTAGTTATGTGTATTGTAAATATTCAGTAAATAATGACAGGGATGACAGAATTCAATGTAAGTAGCTAATAGCTCTCTCCATTAAATTCCTCTTTCACCCAGGCTGGAGTACAGTGGCATGACCTTGGCTCACTGCAACCTCCGTGACCCCCCCACCCCAGCCCCAACACCATTTCCAATGATTCTCCTGCCTCAGCCTCCTGAGTAGCTGGGATTACAGGCACCCACCACCACACCCAGCACATTTTTGTATTTTTAGACAATACTGGGTTTTGCCTTGTTGGCCAGGCTGATCTCAACTCCTGACCTCAGGTGATCCACCTGCCTCGGCCTCCCAAAATGCTGGAATTACAGGCATAAGCCACAGCACCTGGCTGAAATGCCTATTTGAAACATACCCTACCTTCTAATGAAAAAGAATTACTAATCCTTACTAATATTAGACACTTTTTCTGTGGATTATGGTAGCAAGTAGCACTCATGTAAAAATACCTGGTCTCCTGGCTTTATTTTTATTTTTTTCTAACACAGGGCCTCACTCTGTCATCCAGGCTGGAATGTAGTGGTGCAATCACGGCTCACTGCAGCCTTGACCTCCTGAGCTCAAGTGATCCTCCCACCTCAGTCTCCCAGGTAGCTGGGACTATAAGCACACATCAGCACACTGTTAATTTTTGTATTTTTTGTAGAGACGAGGTGTCACTGTTTTGCCCAGGCTGGTCTCAAACTTCTGGGCTCAAGCGATCCAACTGCTTTGGCCCCCCAATGTGCTGGAATTACAGGCGTGAGCCACCGCACCCGGCCGTCTCCTGGCTTTAAATATGTTAAGCGAAATACACACTTTGAAGGAATCTGTAGATGCTCCTGTACTTTCCCCAAGCCTGGATGTCATGGATGGTTTCTTTCCAGTAGAAGACCAACAAAATACTCAGGGGTAAAGGACATAAGGCACCTGAATGCCTGGTGTGCCTAAGACATCCACCTGCCCTCACTCATTTCACATGGAACAGCAGGACTGGAATGTAAATGAGAATCGCATAGTGCCTGGCTTGTAGCTCTCCTGAGGAACTGCCCACATTTGGTTTCTCATCCATCACACCCTGAATGTGTGATGTTCCTTTATGCCTCTGAGTTTGTAGGTGCTGCACCTTCTTCTTAGAAACCCTGGCCACCCTTCATCTGCTGTGCAAATCCCTAGTCATCTTAAAGACTTACCTTAAACACCTCCTCCGTGAAGCCTCCCTGAAGTGTTCAGCTTGTGCAAGCAGAATGAGGTGCTTTCTCTTCTGCTCCTCCAAGTTTCTTGATCATTCTATTATAGCACATGAATAACACCAAAAGTATCTGTACACATGTCTTTCTCTGCACTGAACTGTAACTTCGTGAATGTGCACATGGCAGACATCATGGTCAGGAAGCTGCAGGAATGAATGATTGTACCTATTTATGTTGGTCCTTTTTCTCCAGTTCCTAATTATATGCCTCAAGAATGTGGGTACAGGTTGTTCTTACTCATTTCCTACACCTTGCTAGTTATAACACATTGTCTTGTACATAGGCAAAAATAAACACTTGAATGAATGAGATATCATAGCAATAACCATATCTGCAAAACTGACAAAACCTTATTTCAACCTCTCCTGTGCTATTTTAATCCAGAATCCATAGTATTTTTCACTCAAAAAGGAAAGTACCAAAGTTCTCAAAATAGAAGGAAAGAATAACGAAAATAATAATAAAAGAAATAAAACAAAAAGGAATAAATAACAATCATGAAAGAATTTTCCAGATTTATGTAAGATAAGAGGAGACTAAGATCCAGACCACTGATGGCTTTAAAAGTCACACACTCTGTACTGACATACTAGAGGTGTCCAGATTTTCAGGTCCTCAGGAACAATTTCGACACCCAGGCCTCTGGCCAGATTGAACGTAGGTGGAGCCTCTTTATGTTATCTCTTCTCCACATCCTGGCCTTTTTTTTTTTCCGCCCCCATTCCTCAGATATAGTGCTGAGGGTATAAACTGGCAGCCCAACCCACAAACCTGTTTACTCACACAGTGGTTTTATGTTTTTAAATTAGCTGCCAATATGGAAAGAGTGGGGAAGTTCACATAAACATTCTCAACTTCAGATTGCCAACTTCCCTTAGAAAATCACATCTGGCAATGTGGTAGAGGCGCTTATTGCTCTAACCAACTGATGCGTGCTTTCTCAGATATACCTACTGGATTAATTTATGGCAATAAAATGTTTTGTCTTTTAAAAAAAAGTAACCATTTTTAATGACACTGAGACTTGCCCCCAAAGCCATAAGGAGGTCACCAGTGATCTCCTAAGTACCTAATGACCCCCTGTCTTTTCTCAGTTCTCACCTCTGAAAGCTACCAACATTATATCCTTCTTGAAACCTTCTCCTTCACTGGCTTCCATCAATTTCTATTTTCTGGATGGCCTGCCCCTCTCTGACTACTCCTGTATTTTCTTCCTTTTTTCTTTACCAAATATAGAAATTCCCTAATGTTCAGTCCATCCTCAAACCTCTTTCCCATGGCTATTCTCTTTTCCAGGAAATGTACTCACTACCATGGCTTTAGTCACACAGCCTCTCTGCGGGTAACTTTTCTCTCTTGAGCTCAAAATCCACATTATCAATGAACTCTCACCATTTCTTCCCTGCACCCCATCCTTTACTCGATATTGGCATGTCCAAAAATATTAGGCTGGTGCAAAAGTAATTGCAGTTTTTGCCATTAAAAGTAACTATCAGGAGAATCACTTGAACCCAGGAAGTGGAGGTTGCAGTAAGCTGAGATTGGGCCATTGCACTCCAGCCTGGGCAACAGGACAAGACTCTGTCTCAAAAAAAAAAAAAAAAAAAAAAAAAAAAAAAAAAGCCTTTGCACCAGCCTAATAAAATATCCAAATCCAAACCCAATGGGGTGAATGTCAACTGTTTCTGTCTGCCCTGCATTTCTGTTTTCACTGGAGATCTACCAGACTGTCAAAATTTCCTACCTGGCCTAAGTGGAGGGAACACGAACCAAAGCTTCACCAGCAGTGGTACCCCATCTTCCTGTCCGCAGTGATAGAGCCGAGGAGTAAGCACCTGCCCTAAGTCGGATTTGGCATCTGGAGACGAGAGGGAGTCATCTTAGATCATGAACTATGAAGATGCTGCGGCTGTCTTCCTGACCACATGGAAGCTTCAGAGGGAAGGCACGGCACCCAAAGAGAAGCAAAGCAGAGCCCCTGAGTGCCTAGGACCAGGAGCGTCCAAAGCCAGACGCAAGACCCTGGGTCTCACAATTAGAGCAGTAACCAATTCCATTTGTTCATAAGCTAGTTTGATTGCGTTTTTGTCAGTCATCAAAAGAGCCCCCTTGGCCAGGCATAGTAGCTCACACTGGTAATCCCAGCATTTTGTGAGGCTGAGGCAGGAGGATCGCTTGAGCCCAGGAGTTCAAGACCAACCTGAGCAACATAGTGAGACCTTGTCTCTACAAAAAAAATTAACAAATTATCTAGGTGTGGTGGTACATATCTGTAGTCCCAGCTGCTCAGGAAGCTGAGGCAGGAGGATTGCTTGAGCCCAGGAGGTCGAAGCTACAGTGAGCTATGATTGTGCCACTGCACTCCAGCCTGGGCAACAGAGCAGGGTTCTGTCTCAAAACTTACAAACAAACAAACAAACAAAAGAACCTTCTTTTATTACCCCATTCTCCCAGTGGATTAGTCCATTTTCATGCTACTGATAAAGACATACCCAAAACTGGGAAGAAAAAGAGGTTTAATTGGATTTACAGTTCCACATGACTTGGGAGGCCTCAGAATCATGGCGGCAGGCGAAAGGCACTTCTTACAGGGCGGCAGCAAGAGAAAATGAGGAAGAACCAAAAGCAGAAACCCCTGATAAACCCATCAAATCTCATGAGACTTATTCACTATCATGAGGATAGCATGGGAAATATGACCGGCCCCCATGATTCACTTACCTCCCCCTGGGTCCCTCCCACAACACATGGGAATTCTGGGAGATACAATTCAAGTGGAGATTTGGGTGGGGACACAGCCAAACCATATCACCTAGTTAGCAGGTCATAAAAATTGAAGACATCTTTAACTCTCTCCTCTCCTTTCCTCCAATATTCAATTTGCAACCAAGTCTTCAAATTCCATTTCTATAATCATTGCCACAATCCTACTCTCTTCTCAACCTTATTACTACTATCCAAGCTAACAGCCTCATATAACTTTCTAAAGACTTTTGCAGTAGTCTACTAACTGGTCTTCCACCTCCAGACTCTACCCACCCCTGAGACTACTGTTAGACCCATTTTCCTAAATCGTAAGTCTAGCTACCTAGTCTCCCTTTTAAAAAGTTTCCATGGGTATCCATTGCATCCAAAATAAGAAAAGATGTCTGTCTTCATTTGCTGGGGCTGCCAGTACCACAGACTGGGTGACTTAAAAACAACAGTAATGGATTTTCTCACATTTCTGGAGGCTGAGACCAAGGGGTCTGCAGGGTTGGTTTCTTCTGTGGCCTCCATCCTTGGCTTGCAGATGGCTGTCTTCTCCCTGTGTGTTTTCCTGGCCTTCCCTCTGTATCTGTCTGGGTCCCAATTTCCTCTTCTTAGAAAGATACCAGTCACATGGAATTATAGCCTACCCCCAATGACCTCATTTTAACTTAATTACCTCCTTAAGGACCCCATCTCCCAATGCAATCTCATTCTGAAGAATTGGGAGCTACAACTTTAGCACATGAATTTGGTGGGGCAATGGTGGAGAGACACAATTTGGCCCATAACAATTCCTCATTCAGATTTCTTTCTTTCTTTTTTGAGATGAAGTCTCACTCTGTTGCTCAGGCTGGATGGCAGTGGCGTGATCTCAGCTCACTGCAACTTCCACCTCCTGGGTTCAAGTAATTCTCCCACCCCAGCCTCCCGAGTAGCTGGGATTACAGGCACCCGCCATCATGCCTGGATAATTTTTGTATTTTTAATAGAGACGGGGTTTTACCATGTTGGCCAGGCTGGTCCTGAACTCCTGACCTCAAGTGATCTACCCGCCTTGGCCTCCCAAAGTGCTGGGATTATAGGCACGAGCCACCATGCCTAGCCTTCTCAGATTTTTTTTTTCTTTTCTTTTTGTGAGATGGAGTCTCGTCCTGTCGCCCAGGCTGGAGTGCAATGGCACGATCTCGGCTCACTGCAACCTTCACCTCCCAGGTTCAAATGATTCTTCTGCCTCAGCCTCCCAAGTAGCTGGGATTACAGGTGCCCACCACCATGCCCAGCTAATTTTTGTATTTTTAGTAGAAATGGGGTTTCACCATGTTAGCCAAGCTGGTTTCGAACTCCTGACCTCACGATCTGCCCACCTTGGCCTCCCAAAGTGTTGGGATTATAGGCTTGAGTCACTGCAGCCAGCCTCAGATTTCTTCATATGCCTCCAAATGAACATTTTCAACCCTACCAAATTTATCTGCTTGGAATATGCATTCCCTTCCTATCTCCATCTCATATCTCTGTTCATCAGAACCCTTCCCATCCTTCAAAGTTCTTCACAAATGCCCTGTCCTCTAAGCTGTCCTACTTTCTGGATGGGACTTTCTCTTCCATTCCTTTTGAGCAGGACATCCTGCATCCTCACATTCCTTTGCCTTCCCCTGCCTTGAGAGTAAGACTTCTCTCCACTTTAGGTCTGGTGGAGCTTCCAGGTAGAGAACCCCTGGCCACAAGTGTGAATAAGCTCAGCCAATCATAGCCGATCTTCTGGGGATTTGCACACACCAGACAGAAGGTGGTTGGAACTGAGTCATTTGATGGTGGCACCCTTGATGGCTCTTGCGTTCTTCTTGCTGCAATCCTCAGTGCTGCCTGGCTTCTGTCATTCTCAAAGCATCTGTTAAGCTCTTATTTCTACTCAGTGAGTTACCCAGAAGGCTTTCAATAAACCCATTATTTTTTCTGACTTGAGTTAACCAGTATTCATTTCTTTCGTGTGCAACCAAAGAGCCCTATTAATATACTTTGAATCCCCAGAGTACAATGTTTTTTCATCTCATAACACACCCTATTTCTGCCTTGTACGGAATCGCTTCCATGATTTCCCCCACGTTACTTCTTTCCCCCTTGCTTTTTTCTACATTCAAGCAGCTGGTCCACTTTGTGTTCATTGCCTTAGGAGGATGTAAGACAGTAGAAAAGAGAGAAGAAGAAGTTTCCTAGTAACAGAAATACCCTACAGCACAGACAACAGATTTGGAAGCAAACATTATTTGTAATAGTAAGATTCTAGATCTTACCTGCCCAATCTTCCTGGACCAGAGGATTCTCAGAGTTAGAAGCAAGAAGGAAAGACGGAAGGAGACTCAGAGGGCTAAAATGCTCGCTGGTCCTGAGAGAAGCAGCGTTTTCTCCTGCACCCCTGGGAGAACCTTAGCGGGGTAGCAAGACTTCATAAGGAAATGGATGAGTGCTGTGTTTATGCATGCTGCAAAGAGGCGCACTGGTTACATGCAACCCAGAAAGGCCTAGAAGTAGCAGAGAGAATCAAAAGGTAGGTCCTGAAGGGACCTTGCAGAGGGAATGAGTGTGTCCCCATGACTGCCTGCACGAACACATAATACACAACCACAGGGGCAGCGATGTCTCAGCAGATCGTGCTGACAGATGACATTGAGGACCAAAAAGCACCCCCTCCTGATGGCTTCAGATTATGTAAGCCCCTAGAATTAGTCATGACCCAAAAAATGGTGAGGACCCCAACTGAGCTTATTCCAACCTGGTAAAAAGTAGGGCTCAAAACAGATATTAAGTTGTTAAATAAATAGAGAGAGAAATTGTTCTTTGTTACCTGGGTTGAATACTAAGATTTTTTCCCCCAACATATTTATTTATATACCAGTCTTGCCCTTCCTGTTAGATGACAACACAGCAAGGACTGTCGCTCTCTTGTCTTTGTATGCCCTACAACTGCTGTCACAGGAACTTATGCAAAGTATACATTCAATGACTGTGTCTTTAAGTTGAATTGAATTGAATCAAGTAATGACTCAAACTTGAAGTTTACAACAGGGTTAGATTACCAATATCGATGGGATGTTTATTCTGGGTTTATAGGAAGAGTGCTGGATATTTTGCATATTTTTATGAGAGTGAGAGTTGTATCCATGATCTGGAAACATCAATGGAATCTGCTTCTCCAGCATAACAGGGGGTGTTTGGCCCTAGTGGTTAGAAGGGATTGGCGATGTCTCCCATTCATGGTCAGAGAGTGTTTACACATTGGCAAAACAGAACCACAGAATTTGAGAACTGGGCAGGATATTAGCCATCATGTAGCCAACAACTTCACTTATTAGTGGGGAAAAAACTGAAGCCCAGAGGTATGACAGTTTACCCAAAGTAACAGAATCAGTGAGAGAGGTGAGGCAAGTATTCTCCTCACTCTCCATTTTCCCCATCTGGCTGAGAGTCCATGTCCTGCCCTTTACCCAGTCTCTTGCAGACCCTCAACTCATTCTTGCTTCATTGTTTTCATTGTCCATCCTCCCCAGCCACCTGGCAACACCTCAACTCAGATCGAACCAAGGTCTCTGATCTTTCTGTACACCCGGGCTGCTGGGCTCTGCTTGAGAATATCAGACAACCTCACAGATTGGTTCCACTAGAAATTCATGACTACCAGACTTGACTGGGCCCTCAATGCTGCCAGCAATCTATATCAATCTTTCTCTCTCTGCGCTCTCCGAGTTTCCATTCTAGTTATTTCACAAATTTGTCTACTCTCCTCAAACTTCCGGTCCCACTCCATCCCCCCTTTTCACTCAATCCTACTAAGATGAAGTCCTCTGAAGGGAAAACACTCAGATCCCCACCACCAAGCCTACATGTATATCTGCATCCACACTCACAAGGAGCATGCTTCCCCTCGCAGTCTGAGGGAGGCCTTCACTCGCGCTCTGAATTCCGTCCCTGCCCAAAACCCCTTGCCTTGCATTGCCCCTCTCTCTGCTCCATCTTTTGCCTCTGAAGCACTTGCTTATCTGCAGACGTGAGTCGATGCACACAGATGGTTCCTATTTTAAAAATCAAACACACTTCCGCAGCCCTGTGTTC